TGATATATTTACAGTAGGAAATTTACTAAATATCTTCATGGAACATGATCTTTACTTAAAATCCTATTGATTTGTGGCATAAAAGAAAAAATCGATAATTTTTTAAAAGTCTTAAAGTATGTGATATTTATTGTACTTAAGTACGAAAAGTCATTTTAAATCTTAAACGTACTTAAGTATTGAAAGTAAAAGTACAATTACATTTGCATCTGAAATGGCAATTAGCCTACAGTTTAATGTATCTCAGAGGGGACATGGATGCATTTAAGTTACTGGAGCGCATGGGAAACAAACACCAAAAACCATGTGATGAAAAGGTGTTATCTGATTAAACCTTGCAGTGCAAGAGAACAGCTGGACCGGACCGGACCGGTGATTTTGGCTCGACACTTTCGCCGCTCTATTGAAGTGATAATAAGCAGCGCTTGTCCATTTGAATTCCATACACGACACTTATATGTAAACAGTAAAGTCTCTGTGGTGAAGCTACATTAAAGGGTTAGTTCACCCAAAAATGAAAATTGGCTGGACATGGATGCATTTAAACTGCAGTTACAGATGCATAAATATGCCTAATGTTTTGTTTTTAACATAAAACCTTGAATACTGATATTTGAAAAAAAAAACAAATTAAAACATGAAAAAAATAGTCGAAATGTGAAATTAAAACCACCAGTAGGTGGGTCATTGAGCTTCAACAGATTCGTTCAAACAGCTGTTTCATTCAATAAGTAAACACCGTCCATTGCTCAGAGATGCAAAACAGTGCTGTGATCTTTGTTTGGAACTGTTTTCTTTGGCAAAATTTAGCAAAAACAAGCAATATTACCTCTAAAATGTAAGTCACTTATTGCTTTACTGAACTTGTATAAAATGATTATTAAATGTGTTATGTTGATATCTGCAGAAAAACGGTACTCTTTGTGTGATATCGATTAAGTGAACTATATTAAATTATATAAGCCTACTTGATAATGTCAGATCGCACATCATTACAACAACACTTGTTATATTATCGCAGAATATATACTGTATATCGCACACCCCAGCCTCGACTTGGTGTGGATAATGAAATCATCCGTGGTTGTGTGAACACTTTTGCACATGAGCAAAGGTTGTTTTAGGAGTCTAACGTGCAAATGCCAGACCACTGATTCGTCAAACCTGCTTGCTTGCAGTTTGCATTCTTCTTTACAACTGTGAGCGCAAGCTACATTAAAGTGATTATTACGTTTTGAATATGTTTTTTTCTTCCAAAAACGCATCGATTTGCTACAGAAGGACTTTGTTCACCTCCCGGTGCTTGGATGGGCACTTTTTATTTCACTTCTTTTGGACTGATGCATGCAACACCCGCTGAGTGCCATTAAACAGCTTGAAAGATCAAAGACAATTTTTTATATAACTCCGACTGGATTCGTCTGAAAGAAGAAAATCATATACACCTAGGATGACTTGAGGGTGAGTAATTTATGGCCTAATTTTAATTTTTAGGTGAACTAACCCTTTAAGCAATTTAATCCGAACAGCACCACACCTAGGCTATTTAACATGCAGTTACTGACACTGTAAAAATATGGCATTAATGATATTTATTATTAATGTCACGAAAATTGTTTAGGCTAATTATTGCCTATCAAATTTTGGATCAAATAAAGGCAATAAGTCACTTTTATAAAGGTTTACTAACACTATAGTTAACTCTGGATTCAAGAATTAGCTTTTCATTAAGACAACTACAAAGGAGAATTTAATAGTTCCAACTTTAATTACAGAAAAATATGAATTCAATAATTAAGAGTCTGCAATATAATGGAATATTAATGTTGTTAAATGCATTTTAAGAATTCAAATATATCATTTGTTTTTCCATCCGATATTTATTAATAAATAATTTATTTGTTTATTCCAATTGCCCTAACCCCAGCAAAACATTTATGGGGGACTGTGTGGGCCAGATGGGCTGAATATTAGCACCAGTCCAGCCCTGATGATTCTCCTCTTCTAGGGCCAGAAAGACTTCTAATAATAAAAAAAACAATTTAACGTAAACTCCTTAAGGGAGCTGTATATGCTCAAAAGTTGTTGCTGCTTCTGGAAGCGTGTTTGCTTTGGCTTCATATATCTAGTGTTATGGTATTTATTCTTTTAATGTGTTGTAGCCTGGAATATTTAGTGTGCATACTCATTGTATCTCTGTGTGTTGGAGATTTGATTTAAAAAACAAAACAAAACAAAAACAAATTATTCCTGTGGTAGAAAACGTTGTGGCACCAAGGTAGGCTGAAGGGGGGCCCTTGGGTTTGCTATAGCCCCCAGGGCCCTATGTGTTCTTAATCCGGGCCTGGTTATCAGAGTCAAGTTTCACTTTAAAGGGGTCA